ATTGGGATTTTTGAAAAATTTAGAAAAGTAACTGTTAATATCAGATGGAAGAATAACCAAGAGCTTAATAAAACTTCTCATAAGAAATTGGCTGAGCTTTTGAGCTTTTTGAGAAGGCTAGAATTGTCTAGGTTGCTGAAGTGAGGCTTTGAATTTCTTTGGATTTGTTTTGTAAAAAGTTTTAATCATAAGGGTGTATTAGTACTTTTATATTAGATTTTGGCTATAATTATCATAAATTTAAAAGGGTGGCTATAATTCTATATAGAGTTCTAATTTTGGTTATTTTTCCAAATTTTCCATATATATAACACATGTACAATCATTAATATCTAAACTAAACGCTGAATTATAAACTCATCGTGTTGTATCAAGGATTTGACACGTGTTTTTTTTTTAAGGTCCGCCACTTGAATAGTATAGCAATCGACGATCCGACCGTTGGATCGTTACTAAACCTTAATACGTTATAGTACGTAATTTTTTAGGATCATAGGAATTTACGGATCAAGAATCTGACGTACGGATCTTCCTGAATTGAATTTGTAAGTTCATAAAATAAAACGTTGACCGCCACTCGAATTTACAATTGGCGAAGATCCAACCGTTGGATTGTAATGAAACTTTAGTATGATATTTTGAGAAGCATATTGTGGATATTTGGAAGTTATGGATCGTAAATCTGTGATGCAGATCTTCCGGATCGAGTTACATAGGTTTGTGGACCCTACCGTCGATCTTTGACAGATGGTTGACTTTTGGTCAATGGGTCTCAAATCATTCTAGAACGTCCTTGGGGATGTGTTTTTATGTAAGTTATGTGTTCTATAGATAAGAATTCTGAGATGTGACTAAATATTTGTTCTAGGCGACGATCGTTCATGATGCCTCAATATTCGTGCTAGGGAGTTGTAACGTGGACCTCAGGTGAGTTGGTATTTTTCCTTTTTATAGTTTATATATATAAACTTTATAATTTCCACAAATGCTTTGAACTGAGTTATGCATAGCATGCCATGATTTAAAGGTGTTATATTTAAATATTGCATTATGATGAGATTTGTGATTGTGCCAAATGATCCTACGGGGGCGCAGGTAAGTTCAGATGAGTTATTATGTGATTGAAATGGTTGAATTATATGAGCATGCATATATTCATTTAGAGTTCATCATGGCTGCACCCCAGTATTAGTACTCCCGCCCGGGGTCAGGGCCAGCCTTCACGTGATTGTTCACCTCTCGCACCGCACGCTCACCTTGGATCCAAGTCTGGTGCCAGCCTATCGTACATATCACAATAGGTGGTTCCAACTCATAGGTGACCAGCGATTTATCGCACAACCTTCGCATGATCAAAGCACTTGAGAGTACATATTTATACCCAGCTTGTCGTACAGGTCACACTAAGTGACTTCGACTCATGTGCTAGCCTAGATTGATGAGCTATAGATCCAGTCGTACATGTCACGCAAGGTGACTCCGACTGGCATACTATTTTATATTAGTTGCACATCTGATTTACATCTTTTAGTGCTGAAATATTATGACATGGCATATCTCAGTTTTCGCTGGTCTTGTGCATTGGTTTTCATACCTACGTAGTAGTGATTGCATATCGACGAGGATTATTGAAAAAACTTGGTGTAGACGATTACCATCGATGGTATAATTCTCACCCTATTTTACTGTACTGTACTTATGCTCTGTCATCACATGTGAATTGGGTTCATTCCCGCCCACAGCATACTCTTGTATTTAGGTACTTTTAGGTTTAAATTTATTCACATTTTTCACATCATTGCACTTTATGGCTTCGTCACCTTCCAGGTGTCGGCCATCACAGCTCGATTCAAAGTCCTAGTTGACATCTCGGGTCGGGGTGTGTCAGTATTCAGTTGAGATTTGGAGGGATTTTAATTCTATTAATGAATCTAAGGGTATTCAATTAGAATTTTGGATGATTCTTTGGAATTCAATGTGTATTTAATCAGGATTTTGAGATAGTTTATTAAAATTCTTAGAAATCTGGGTGTATTCAATTAAGACTTTAAGGAAATTTATAACATTCCAGGTGTATTCAATTAGAATTTGATTTTCAAGAAAAAAAATTCGAATATGATTTTAAAGAAATTGAAAAAGTTGAGGAATTAGAGAGAACTTGAGAGATTTTGTAAGTATTTTAAGCATCCACAAATCTCACATTTCCCCATGAGATTTTGAGGGAATTGAATCAAAATTTTACGTGAAATCTATACAAATAAACTCCATACAAATGGGGAAAAAGACTGTAAACTAAAAGGGTGTATCCAAATGAGATTTTGAGGCATTTTAATTCTTTTAATGAATTTAGGTGTATTCAATTATGATTTTAAGTGATTCTCTGAAATTCAAATTGTATTCAATCAAGATTTTAAGATAGTGAATTAAAATCCTTAGAAATCCAGGTGTATTCAATTAGGATTTTAAAGCAGTTTATAACATTTCGGGTGTATTCAATTAAAAATTGATTTTAAAGGATTTGAAAAAGTTAAGGAATTCGAGGGAATTGGAGAGATTTCGCAGTGTATTTTAAGCATCCACAAATCTCACCTCTCCCCATGAGATTTCGAGGTAATTGAATCAAAATTTTACATAGAATATCTACAAATCAATTAAACTCCATAAAATTCCATGGATTTATAAATCTATTAAAATCTCTCAAATTCTCAATTGAATACACCCTTCTAAATCATAACTTGAATTCGTCATAGTGGGCAAAGAAACTATTTTACAAAGTAATTGTTACTTGAATTCCTCATAGTGGGCAAAGAAAAAACAAATTTACAAAGTAATTGTTACTTGAATTCGTCATACTCATAACTTGAATTCGTCATAGTGGGCAAAGAAACTATTTTACAAAGTAATTGTTACTTGAATTCCTCATAGTGGGCAAAGAAAAAACAAATTTACAAAGTAATTGTTACTTGAATTCGTCATACTAGGCAAAGAAAAAATAAATTTACAAAGTAATTGATGTGGGATCAAAATTCCATTGAAATCAATGCCACAAATAAAATTAATACATATTCTAGAAAGTGCTATACCGAAAAGCCCCCTTACTTGCAAAGCACATAACCCAGAACGCCAACAACAAAAAACGGGATATGTCAACGATTTTGTCAATCCTTTTCTGTTTGGAATGAACGGAAACCACACAGTAAATTCTTGAAAACGAAAAATGGTTGCCCTTCGATTATTCATCTCTAAATATTGGTGGTACGTGCGTAGTTACTGTTGAATCTCATTATCCCACTAAAGTGAGATCAAATTGTGGAAATCCTTGAGTGAAAGCTGCTAACTTGTTCGAGTTTTTTTCTCCGTCATCTTTGAAGGTTGAACACATAACCTTTTTTTTTTTTTACCTTATTATGTTTCCTGAAGAGGTCGCACTTGGTGCAATGGCAAGTGCTTTCGCCCATGAGCGGTAGGTCTCGGGTTCGAGACTTGGGAGCAGCCTCTCCATAAATGGGGGTAAGGCTAGCCGACATTCACCTCTCCCAGACCCTGCGTAAAGTGGGAGCCTTGTGCACTGGGTACGACATTTTTTATTATGTTTCCTGAAAAATTGAGCCATAAGCAAGATAGTTCTTAAGATTGACACAATTCCTCATTTTGATCCCTGAGATTTAGAATTGATGGAAGTGTTCCCTGAGTTTACTCACCATCAATCATTTTGATCATTTCGTGAAAAATCTCCATTTAATAAGGATCAAAATGAGAAAAATACCCTCAATTGTTATCAAATTATTTTGGGCCATTGTTTATTAAATTTTGAGGGTATATTTATCATTTTGATCTTTATTTACAAAAAATTTCACAGAATAGCCAAAATGATTGATAATAGGCAAACTCATGAATCACTTCTACTGATTTCAAATCTCAGGTACATACCAAAATGAGAAGTTATGCCGATTTTAACTAATACTGAAAAGAAATGTGAGATCTAGATGATGAGGCTAAGAATATCATGTAACTATTTGAAATGAATTGGAATGATAACTTCTTTGTACCAACAAAATTGAAACAAAATAAATAAAGTCACCACAAGGTTTTATTGTTATTCCACCCTATGAAATCATTGCCTCCTTACCTACATCCATTATTCATTGGCCCTCAACACTCAACCCCTCTCTTCATCCACCCAAACCGAAATTCCCAACCCAAAGCAGTGAATATAACTCACCAACAAAGAAAGTAAATCATATCATAAATTAATAACCAAGAAAAAGGAGATCTATTATTCTGCCCAGAGCCACAAAATTGGAATTTAAAAACAAAAAAAATGTAGGAGTGTGGATTTTGGTCATGCCACACAAGTGCTAACCTTGATAATTTAGTATAAAATTTGTGATAAATTAACGTTCAATTTAAGACTTTATTAACTTACAAATAAAGACGATTATCATTCAATCGTAATATGTAAACTTGAACACATAAAAAAACCAACAAAACAAAATTGATATTGAATTCGTGATAATTTGATGCCGAACTTAGGACACTGTTTGACTTGACTTAAAAATACAAAGAACAAAAAATAATCGTTTTGCTAAATAACATAAAACATTTTAGTTTGGAACGCGATGGAAAAGCCAAAAAGAGAAGAAACGAAAATTCATAATTTACGAAACTTGAAAAAAAAAAAATGGGAGATGAGAATGATAAAGGAAGAAGCAAAGAAATGAGTTCGGTCGGTTTGGGTGGGGCAACAGAAGCTACACCAATCGAGAAAGGAAGGAACAAAGAAACCAAAGAAAAAGAAACAACCAAAATACCCTATTTCTTTTCTTTGACCCGAAAAAAAGTTCAAAGTTCAAAAAAAAAAAGCCAATTTTATCCCAGCCAGAAACCCCAAAAAATAAATAAAAAAATAATCCCAGAAACCAAAAACCAAAAAAATCATTATTATTTATATATTTTTGTGTAGAAGGGAAGGTGGTGCTGGTGCCATCCAGTTCTTCTCCCACCCATCCCTCTAAGCAAACCTTCCCCCATATCTCTCTCTCTCTCTCTCTTCTCTTCCTATCTCTGCAAAACCCATCTTTCAATTTTCCCAATCCAAATATCTCAAACACCCAATTCTTTCTATGACCATCAGACTCTAAAAAGCCCGATTCTTGGCCATGAGGAGGGGAAGAGGAGCCGCTACGAGACCCGCAGCGCCGCCGGCCGAACCCACCGGATCCAGACCCTGTATTGGAAAAGAGGTCCGGTACCGAGGGGTTCGGAAAAGACCGTGGGGCCGGTTTGCTGCCGAGATCCGTGACCCGTGGAAGAAGACCCGGGTCTGGCTCGGCACCTTCGACTCAGCTGAAGACGCCGCCCGAGCCTACGATGCCGCCGCTCGCATCCTTCGCGGCCCCAAGGCCAAGACCAACTTCCAGATCTCATGTGCTTACCCTACCTTTTACAACAACCCTACCGACCCGGCTATCGAGGCTAAGCTTTTTGGGTCGGGTTACGGGTTTCAGGACCATCCGGCTGTAGATCCGCAGAGACCCGCATCCAGCAGCCTGAGCTCCACCGTGGAGTCGTTCAGTGGGCCCCGCCCGCCGCTTCAATCGACGACGGTCGCTGCCGAGTTGACGCGGCGGAAACGACAGCCGAGGACGCCGCCCGTGGTTCCCGAGGACTGCCACAGCGACTGCGACTCGTCTTCATCGGTAGTAGAAGACGACGGGGATTTCGTCGCGTCGTCGTCGTTTCGCAAGGCCCCGCTGCCCTTCGATCTAAATTTCCCACCGTTGGATGTGGATGGGGAGATGGGCGGTGGGGTGGACGGTCAGGATCTTCGATGTACGGCTCTATGCCTCTGATTGTTCGTTGTTATTTTAATGCCGTTGATCGTTTGATGAAGCATGATGATCGATGATTCGATTTTTTCACTTCTAAAATTCTAAATTTTCTCCTTTTATTTTTGTTGTACGATAACAAGCATGGTGTTTGATGAGAATTACTTTTTTAATTTTCTCATTTATAAACCAAAAAAAAAAAAAAAAATTATGAGAATCTTGTTTTTATGTAACCCTCATTAGGATTTGTGCACGACTATTGTTCTGGGTTTTTTAATATATTACAAAGCGATATTACTAATCTAAGTTACAGAGTTTCAATCCGGAACGCGACGTTTGATCTGGGTTTCTTGAGTCTTACCAAGCTGTTGATATTGTTGTAGAAAAGATTTAATGTATGATTGAGTTGCTAATTTTGTAGTTTGTTTGTCTAGTTTTGATTGCATTGTCTACGTTTAGAAAGGGGTAGGCAAAGAGAAGGCAAAGTACGTTTGGTATGCGTGATGTGTCACCATTTCTATACAAACCTCATTTCCTCATAACCTTTTTTTGTTTTGTTTTGTTTATAATGGAGTAAAATGAATCATTGGCCTAACTCAGTTTTCCATATGGATGTGATTTTGTGTGATATTTGAAGCAATAGTCTCTTAACTTTAGCTCAATTGAAGTTTTCGTTCCTGAACTAAAAGTTTGTGAGTGTTGGTTCCTAACTTGTAATACCACGGAGCAATAGTTCTTTTAGTTAACTATGTTAGAATTTTCATTTATTTTTTTGCCCCCCTTAAACTTTATTTGAATGCAAGTTTTAACGGAGTTATTATTGCTTCACATTATAACAAGTTTAGGAATCAAAACTCATGAATTTTTAGTCTAGAAGCTCCAATTGAGCCAAAGTTCAGGATCATTGCTTTAATTTTCTCGATTTTGTTCATTGAGAAGAAATTAATCTTCGGTTCAATTATGTCATAAATGTGAAAATTTGGGGCTCATTTTAAGCAGGAGGAGCATTCTCTTTCCTCCTAATCTTTGTCATTAATTCCCTTTTTACTTGAACCGTTACGATTAAGATATGTCAACATTTTATATTGATTTTTAATAGAGAGAAAAAAACAAAAAACAAAGTGTGGGTGGAGAGAAAGGAAACGGATGAGAATAGATGAGGAAATAATCATACTCCATTTAACCTTGCGTTGAATGCATCTTCATGTTGACATGTCTTGGAGTGTAAAGCAAAACCCATTATTCATGTTATAGTTTACTCAAAATTTTCACTTGGGCACTATATATTGACACTTTAAAAATATCATTATGCATTTGTTCTTCAATAATTTTGTAAATTCTCTTTTATAAAATGTGAAGGGGCAAGCAATAGCAGCTCCCTTCTCACGTATGTTAATATAAGATTTTTTTTTTTTTTTTTACATTTTAGTCCGAATAGATTAATTTGTTTTCACTTTAGTTCAATCCGTCAATTTGGCAGATTTTTTTTATCCAATTTTAATCTTCCCATTATAAACCCAAGCTAAAAGGAATTTAACCTCATTTGACAGACTGGACTAACAATGCTAACATAATGAAACTACAAACACAATAGTACAACAGAAAAACTAGGAGGATGATGATGATGATGGTAGAAACTTGAGTAAATTAGAAGGAAAGGATGATGGTACAAACTTGAGTAAACTTGGAGGGTTATTAGTGCAGTTCAGCATGTTGCTTAGTAAGAGGGCAAGGCATGGAAAAGGGGTCAACAAAATTGCACGGCAGTCACTCAAAATTAGTGGAGGCTATCTTTGAACTTGGACTTTTACAAATTCAAAGACCTTTGAACTTGGACTTTGAATTTTTCATACGCAAATAGTAAGAGGAAAGGAAAGGACCTTATTTATGCCTATGCCCCTAAAACTCAATCATCCTCTCGTTTTGCTCCATGGAACTCAAAATGTATCCATAATATTTGAAACTTAATTTTAGTTACACTTGGTCCATATGCCATTCAATTTTGTTAAAATTTTCGTTTGGTTTGCTGACATGGCATGTATGTGACCTACACATCCATTGAAATAACGCCATGTGGAAAAAGAAAATAAATCAATTTATAAATCCAAGAACTGAAGAAAGTAAGATTGTAAACCCGAAGGCTTTATTTGGTGAACTGGATAAGATAAGTTGTGATAAATTAAAATATTGAGTCTAGTTCGTTGTTTGTTGTATTAAAATGTAAGTAGACAAGACTGGATATGATAGGTTATGAATTCACAATAGAATATGTTATCTAGCCTAATCCAATCATATCCCCAAAACTCAATCTCATTAATCACACCAAACGAAACCTAAAGCCTCGCCCTTCCCCCAAACACCAGCACAATCCCTTCCCAAATCCCTCATGCCGCTGACCCACCCTTACCCCCACTCCCGCCGTCCCAACCCAGGCCTCCCATCCATACCCGCCTCAGATGTGATTCCGACAAAGGAGGGAGATGCAGATGAGTGGAGTGGGCCGAGGGTTGGTTTGCTGGCTTTCCATTTTTTTTTCTGTTTAAGTATTTTTAACATCAATAATGCTATTCTTACCATATTTTTGTACCATAATTATATACCCCTTAGGTGACATCTGATGTGGACAATCACATCATCTAAATTAATTAGCATTTAATTTCAAAATGTTAATCAATAATTAATAAAAAGATTGTTAATTAAATGATGATTGTGGTATACTAGGAGTCTCATTCTTTCACATAAGATTATTTAAGTGTTTTAATTAATAAAAAGATTGAAATTAAATGATGTAGTTTGTCCAACTTATCTGCCACCTAATATGGTAAATAAATATAGTATAAAATTGTGATAAGAATAACATTACTCTTTTAACGTTTTCAAAGTGTTACACGTTTTTTTTATTAAATGTGGCGATGACATGGTTAACATGTCAGCCAAACAATGGGCCTTATATTTGTCACAGAACGTTTAACGGAAGTGATGGAATAAGACAAAGTGAGGCAAGGTTAACTTTCACATAAGTGACACATTTTGAAATTTATAGGGCAACGTGAGAGGAAGATTGAGTTCCGTAAGCTTAAATAAGCCATATTTGGAGGTTGTAGGCATGTAGCTGAAGAGAGGGGATTGTGATGTTTCAGCTTGCTTTAGCTTCAAAGAGAGAGTTCCATGAATATAGGCTTGTTTTTGCATAGAGAGATGGCACCGCCCTTCCCTGCACTTTCAAATTGGACTTAGGTTAGAGATTTTTTAATGTAATTGGAACACAAAAACGATATACCAAGTGCTATAATATACGTGAAAGGACATTAAAAGATAAAGAAGTTATTTTCACTTACTTTTTTACTTTTTTGACATCAAATTGACTAAATCAAATAAAAGACGGTCAAAATTAAACAGGAGTGCATGTTTAAGAAACTACAAAATGGTTGTACTTATCATTTTCTCAAAAAATATGTTCTTCACTTCAAGTTGTATTATTACATGACTGGTGTGATATGTTGAACGTCAACTTAATTTTGCTTTGGATGCAGGCACAAGGCCATCCATCTCAGTCTGGGTAATGTAGATTTCGTGGGTAGTGCAGTCAGCGATTGGGGAATAGATATGCAAATTAGCAATAGAATACAAGCAGTAGCAAACAATGGGTTCGTTTGGACGTACTTTTAAAATAATTGAAAGCGTTTTGGTGAAAATGTTTTTTAAACCAATCTTTAATAAAAATGCAAATAAATCCAGGAAAAATACTTAAAGTGCTTCTTAGAAGAAGCACATAACTGGTGCTTTTTGCATAAAGCACTTAAAGTGCTTTTGGAACCCAAAAATATTTTCTCTAAAAGCTCTTTTAGCCATTTTAAAAGCACATCCAAACGAGCCCAATGTTTATTGCGGGCTGTGCATAAACTTTGGGCCTCTCGCCGCTCTCGGTCTAGCGTTTCTTGTGCATTTTTCTTTTATTTTTTTATTGTTTTTTTATTCTAGCGAGGTCAAGAAAAGAAGAATTGAGCTTGGAATTTCGAGTGCATGACTTAAATGTTTTTAACGAATTGAACTGTAAATTTATTGCTTTTATTTGTTGATTTAGCTTAATATGTTTTTTCTTTTGATAATCGGGTTGTAGGTTAAAACGATTCATTAACCCTAAAAAAAGGAAGTAGAAAGGGTTTGGATTTGCAAATCAACGCAATTCAAATCACAACAAGACGAAAAGTTTTTAAACCTATGTTAAGGACTGGAAATGGCTGGAGGACCTCGAATTTTGTCAGAAACAATCAGATTTCATAAACGGCGCACTCCCCCATCTTTGCCTCGCTGTAGCTTTGTCACTTGATTTGAGTTATGGGTTTTGTAGTTGGGGCCGAAGTGAGTTGATTGGTGGTGGTGGATGACGTCGATTGAATAGGAACGACGAAATCGCCGTCAAAGAAGCTCGGGAAAATTGGAACTTTGCTCTGCCACGACAGGTGGCCAAACGAAATGATGCTAGGGTGGAAAAGGAAGCTAGGGTGGGGTCGAGACGTTGGTGGCGGTCATGATTATGAAGATTGAAGCAGTAGCTTTAATGGAGAAAATTAACAAACGCAGACTTGCAAAGAAGAAGAGAGAGAGAGAGAGAGAAAAGCTTTCTTGTATTACTTGAGTGTCAAGTTACATTACTCACACCTTTGCTATAGTTCTTTATATGATTACATTGCTTAATGCATAAGCTAGTATTCTAACAACATATTCTAACAACCAACATATTCTAACAACCTTATAACTTCCCTTGGATCTTGTGACCCTTGTCATCATCTAGACCCTTAAATTCCCTTCACTTGGATTCTTATCTTTGTGTTTGTTTACACTCTTACATCCCCTCTCAATCGCATGCATGAGTGAACTAAGCATGAGATTGCTATAATGCTGCTGGAATAAGGCTACAGATAAACCCTTTGTGAGTATATCAGCAAATTGTTCTCCAGATGAAATATGTTGCACTTGAAGATCTTCTCTTGTAACTCTCTCACAAACAAAGTGATAGTCAATCTCGATATGTTTAGACTTTGCATGAAACACATGATTGGCTGATAGAGATATAGCTGAGATGTTGTCACAGTAAATCATTGGTGCTTGATAAAAAGGAATGTGTAAGTCATAAAATAATTGTCTTATCCAAGCTATTCCAGCTGCTATGATTGCTAGAGCCTGATACTCAGCTTCTGTGGATGACCTCAGCAC